TGGAGCCTTGGATGATGCCTCTGGAGCCTCGTATGGCGCTGGAGCCTTGGATGATGGCTCTGGAGCCTCGTATGGAACTGGAGCCTTGGATGATGCCTCTGGAGCCTCAGGTGGCGCTGGAGCCTTGGATGATGACTCTGGAGCCTCGTATGGCACTGGAGCCTTGGATGATGGCTCCGGAGCCTCGTATGGCGCTGGAGCCTTGGATGATGCCTCTGGAGCCTCAGGTGGCGCTGGAGCCTTGGATGATGGCTCTGGAGCCTCGTATGGCACTGGAGCCTTGGATGATGGCTCTGGAGCCTCAGGTGGCGCTGGAGCCTTGGGTGATGGTTCTGGAGCCTCGTATGCCACTGGAGCCTTGGATGATGGCACTGGAGCCTCAGATGAGGCTGGAGCCTTGGAGGATGGCGCTGGAGTCTCAGATGGTGCTGGAGCCTTGGGTGATGGCGCCAGAGCCTCGGATAGCACTGAAGCCTTGGATGGCGCTGGAGCCTGGGACAGTACTGGAGCCTCAGATGATACTGAAATCTCTACCGGAACCTCAAATGATACTGAAGCCTGGGAAGGTGCTGGAGCCTCCAATGAGAGCAGAGTACTGCGTCCACCCAGCCCCCAGGCTCCAGAGCCCTGAACCAAGGCTCCTTCCACAGGATCCTCCACCCCGGGCCCCCGTGGGGCTGAAGAGCCCGAGCTTCAGGCGAGCAGCCTTGGTGGGCCTCCCAGCCTCCAACCACCTCTGTAGCCCTAACTCTTGGAGACGCTACCACAACTTTATTGTTCTGCGTCTTTCTTGGTGCACTCCGGGGAAGGTGGGGGGGGTGCTGAGGCTGGGTGGAAGAAAGCAGGGGGGGCAGGAAGGGGTGAGGGGGCCCAGGGATGAGGAAATGGCGGGGGAGGGAGAGGTGTGCAGGAAAAGAGGCTGGAGGTTTTGCTCGAGGACCTGAGTTCAAACCCTAGTATTGTTTAGAAAAAGAATCAATTCTAGATAAGGCATACCAAGAAAGAGAAATATATTACATGTTCCTTCATATTTTTTATTGTTGTTGTTTTCCTTACCGGTCCTGGGGCTTGAACTCAGGACCTGGGCGCGGTCCCTGAGCTTTTTTTTAAAAATTTTTCTCAAGGCTGGTGCTCTACCACTTGAGCCACAGTGCCACTTCTGTTTTTTTCCATCTATGTGGTGCTGAGGAATGGAACCCAGGGCTTCATGCATGCTAGGCGAGCACTCTACCACGGAGCCACCTGCCCAGCCCCAGAATTAGAATTCTTGGCCACAGACGTGTGAGTTTAATGTGTGTAACAAATCACCTGACCATCCCATGCTCCTCTCTCACAAATACAATCACACTGGAGTCCCAAATATCAAAAATTCAACCTTAGGGGCTGGGAAGGTGGCTCAGTGGTAGAGCGCGTGCCTTGCATGCCTGAGGCCCTGGGTTCCATTCCTCAGCACCACATAAGCAAAAAGAAAAAAGCTGGAAGTGGCGCTGTGGCTCAAGTGGTAGAGCGCTAGCCTTGAGCTGAAGAGCTGAGGGACAGCGCCCAGGCCCAGAGTTTAGGACCCATAACCGGACCCAAAAAAACAAACAAAAATTCAACCTTAGCACGGGTGTCTGAGCATTCTGGACAGGAGAATTGTGCAAACAAGGTCTTTCATGTCTTGGGCAGATCTGACAGGCCCAGGGGAGATGATGGCTGGAAATAGAACCAACTGCTGGCTCTGTTAACCCTCAGCTTGCTGCTGCCGGTGGGGGGGAGAGGGAGAAAGGAGTGGGGGAGAGGAGGGGGGAGCCCTTGGTTCAGCCCTGAATAGCTCAGTGTGAAGACCAGCCTGGGAATTTCCTTCTAAGTGGAGAGATGTTCTCATCCATCCCCTCCCCCCAGCCTGCCAGCAGAGAAACAAAGTCACTCAGATTTAGAAGAGGTATAAAGAACTTTCTGGCAGGACTGGGTGGCTCAAGCTTCTCATCCTGGCTCGTGGGGAAGTGGAGATCAAGAGTTCAAGGCCAGCCCTGGCATAAAAGTTCAACCCATCTCCCTCTCCACCCCCCTGCCCCTAACCCTATTTGGACCAATGGCTGCTTGGGTTGGCATGTACCCGGGGATACAGAGAAGCACAAACAGGCAGATCGCAGTCCAGGCAAGCCCAGAAATAAGTCACGACCTTGAAAATAACCAATAAAACAATGCCACTGGAGGCATGGCTAAAGATGGTAAAGCACCTGCCTGGCAGGTGTGAAGTCCTGAGTTCAAATCCCAACAGCACAGAAAAAATACCTTTCTCACCACGCTGAGAGGTGATGGGATCCATCATAGCAAGTCAGAGGAATAAGCCCTGGAATCTGTTTAAATTGGTACTGCCGAACTGAAATAGAATTTGGCCATATATGAAATTAATCTTTGGTGCCAGGTGCTGGTGGCTCCCGCCTGTCACCCTAGCTACTCAGGAGGCTGAGATCTGAGGATCGCAGTTCAAAGCCAGCCCGGGTAGGAAAGTTCGTGAGACTCTGATCTCCAATGAACCACCAGAAAACCAGAAGTGGAGTTGGGGCTCAAAGTGTTAGAGCGTAGCCTTGAGCTGAAGAGCTCAGGGACAGCGCCCAGGCCGGGAGTTCAAGCCCCACAACTGACTGTCGTTGGGGCTGTTGGCGGCCCTGAATTCCACCCTAAGCACTTCATTAAAAAAAATGAAAATAAAAATGTTGCCACGTAACCAAGAGCAAAAAGAGGCAAGCGGAATTAATTATGCAATGTATTCTATTTTAATCCATCGGATCCCAAACTTTATCCACAGGCAATAACATAACTGACATTGAATAAGCGTTGTTTTCAAAGTGTGTGCCTGGATGCTATCTCTGAGCTCTTTTCTTCAAGGCTGGTGCCCTACCATTTGAGCCACAGCCCCACTTCTGGTTTTCTGGTGGTTTGTTGGGGATAGAGAGTCTCATGGACTTTCCCACCCAGGCTGGCTTTGAACTGCGATCCTCAGATCTCAGCCTCCCGAGTAGCTGGGATGACAGGTGTGAGCCACCAGACCTGCTGTTTTGGATCCTTTATCCTAAGTCAAAATGACGGACAGAGGGCTGGGAAGGTGGCTCCGCGGTGGAGTGCTTGCTTAGCGTACTTGAAGCCCTGGGTTTGATTCCTCCAAGATCTCAGCGGTCCATATTACTAGAACATTCTCCTTTTTCCTCGCAGTCTGGGAGAAGACAGAGGACAGGGAGCGGGCAGAAGCGAGGCCAGGCCTCTGGTGGGCAGTGGGGAAGACAGCGGGGGGGGTGTTAGGACCCCCTCATGCTGACCCTGTGTCCCGATGAACCCCGAAACTGGCTGGCACCCCAAGACTTGCCTACAGAGGGGACACTTGAGCGTGGAGCAGACGGGTGGTCCCCCACGTCAGCCCCCCACAGAGGTGCGCTCTTCGGATTCCTGCCTGGTGCCATTGACCATCACACCCGCCCCCGCCGCACCCAGCACCCCAGAATCGGTTATAAGATAGCTGGCGGCCAAAGGCCCGCAGGGCCCGCCTTCTCTGACCCCAGGGCTGGCCCCCCCTCTTCCACTGCCATCTCTGGAACTTTCCTCCGCCTCCCGCCCGGAGGCGAGCCAGGGACAGTCTGGGGACAGGGATCGGAGGCTGTGGTGGTGAGGACCGTCCCCCGTCCTGTCCAAGGCCCCCGGCCCGCCCCACCCGGAGGGCATGAACGCCTGGCGGGAGGCCCAGGGGGGCGACGGAGGCGCGGGCCCCCCGGGACGGGAGCCCCCCGGGACGGGGGACCCCGGGCAGCTGCTCCAGCAGCGGCGCGTCAAGCAAGCCACGCGCTTCCTGCACAAGGACTCGGCCGACTTCCTCCCCCTGGACCCCCTCCGAAGGATGGGCACCTCCAAAGACCTGGTGAGGCTGCACCCCACCCCGCCCTGAGCCCTCGGGGGTCACGCCAGCATTCCTCTGACACCCTGAGGCTTATCTGAGCACAGAACGGGGTGCAGGAGACCCAGGAAGCTTGAGGACCATCACTGGAGGCCAGGAAGTGGGGTGCGGGGGGGGCGGAGGACGGGCCACTGTGAAGATGGAGACTTGTGCTCTTGCCGGGCCTCAAATGGTGGCTTTCCACAGCAAAGCGGCCCTCGGCCCACGCCCCTCCCGCATGGAAAGTTCCATTCCTTCCAGCCCCCTGCTGCACCATGCGGGGTGGGAGGGGGTCAGGGGTCAGAGACTGGGGCCCCCTAAGGCCTCTGCATCAGTTGGGGGACTGTCCTGAGATTTTGGGGGCTACCTTGCTTGCCACCTAATCTGAGTCTCAGGCAAGTTGCTTTTGTCTCCCTCCCCCCTCCTTCCTCTCCCCCCTTCCTTCTTTCCTTCCTTCCTTCCTTCCTTCCTTCCTCTTTCTTTCTGTGTGTTGGTACTGGGGCTTGAACTCAGGGCCTTGAGCTCTCCAATTGTGGATCTTGAATTCAGGGCGTGGGCGCTGTCCCTCAGTTCTTCAGCTCAAGGCTGGCGCTCTACCACTTGAGCCACAGCACCACTTCTGGTTTTCTGGTGGTTCATGGGAGATCAGAGTCTCACGGACTTTCCTACCCAGGGCTGACTTTGAACCTCGATCCTCGGCGGATCTCAGCCTCCCGAGTCGCTGGGATGGCAGGCGTGCGCACCGGCGCCTGGCTTAGCTGCAGTCTTTTGAAGAGCTGCTCTGGGCTTTGTGTCTGTCCTCCTGGGCACCCCCGCGACACCCCTGTCTCAGATACCCGGCTTTGAGACACCGCAGACAGACCACTTCCACCCGGAGGGTGCAGCCACCGTGGGAAAGAAGGAAGGAGGTGGGGACGCAGGCCCGTCCTCCCTCCCCGCTGGCCCAGAGTTCACGGCCCTGTGCCCACAGCTGGCAGCTTGTTTCTGGGAGCAAGGCCAAGGGCATAGAAAGGAATCAAGGCTCCCAGCAGGAGAGGCCTGTGTGTGTGTGTGAGTGTGTGTGTGAGTGTGTGTGTGTGTTTGTGTGTGTGTGTTTGAGTGTGAGTGTGTGTGTGTGAGTGTGTGTGTGAGTGTGTTTGTGTGTGTGTGTTTGAGTGTGAGTGTGTGTGTGTGTGTGTGTGTATCCCAGAGCAGGCCAGCGCTGCATCAATCACACCTAAAATAAACACAAGCGAAACAAGACCCTGCCTTGAAGGGAGTGAGGTGAGCAAGGGGGGGGGGGACAGAGAAACAGAAGCAGGGAGGAAGAAAATACAGGCAGCCAGTGGGCTCCAGGGCTGGGAAGGTGACTCAGTGGTAGAGCGCTTGCCTTGCATGCCTGAGGCCCTGGGTTCGATTCCTCAGCACCACATAAGCAAAAAGAAAAAAGTCAGAAGTGGTGCTGTGGCTCAAGTGGTAGAGCGCTAGCCTTGAACTGAAGAGCTGAGGGACAGCGCCCAGGCCCAGAGTTCAGGCCCCACTACGGGACCCAAAAACAAAAACAAAAGTCTGGGCTCCAGAGGGGTGCCAAGGGCTCACACCTGACATCCCAGCTACTCAGGAGGCTGAGAGCTGAGGATTGTGGTTCAAAGCCAGCTTGGGCAGGAAAGTCTGTGGATCTGATCTCCAATAAACCACCAGAAAGCCGGAAGTGGTGCTGTGGCTCAAGGGGTAGAGCACCCGCCTTGAACAAAAAAAGCTCAAGGACAGCGCCCAGGCCCATTCTCTCTCCCCCTCTCCCCCCACCCCTCTTCCAAAGTACTGGGGTTTGAACTCAGCTACCTCTACTTTCGGCTTTTTGATGGTTCATTAAAGACTTTCCTGCCTGGGCTGGCCTCACACTTTGATCCTCAGACCTCAGCCTCCTGAGTAGCTGAGATGACAGGCGAGAGCCACCATGCTTGACCGAGGGTGTGATCTGAGCCTGGTGTGTGTGTGGGGGGGAGTTTGTCACTCTGCTCTGCACCTCTGGCTGGCAGCTGCTGAGGCCCAGGCCTGGGGGCTGGGGGCAGGGACGCCCTCCTGCATTCACGGCTCCCCCCCACCCCATTTTTCGAGGCAGCAGCCACACTGTGTGCTTCAGAGACGTCTGGTAGAGGGACTCCAGAGCGGGCTTCCGGGGGCATCCCCTCCGGGGCGGGCCATGACCGAGACCCAGGGCCAAGAGGCCAGCAAGAAGCCTGGCGGGACCGAGACGCCCGCTCAGCTGGTGAGCTGCACGGTGAGAGGCCTCCGGACACGCCGTTCATGGAGGGGCCTGCCTGAGCCGGCGCACCCCACCTGCTGGCCCGGGGTCCTGGGGGCGGGGGGGGGGCTCCTCCCTGACCTGGACCAGAGCTGGGGACTGGGCACTTTCCTCCCTGTCTCAACTGCCCATCGCTCCACAACCCCCTGCCCGGGAGCACTCGCCTGGCACGCCTGAAGCCCTGGGTTCCATTCCTCAGCACCACAGACACAGAAAAAGCCGCAAGTGGCGCTGTGGCTCAAGTGGTAGAGCGCCAGCCTTGAGCCAAAGAAGCTCAGGGACAGCGCGCAGGCCCTGAGTTCAAGCCCCAGGACTGGCACCAAAAAAAAAAAGTATCACACAACATGCATGTACCTTGCCGTGTTACACACATGCACCGTCTCTGCGCTCCACGCCTCTGGAAGGTGTGTGCACGTGTGAAATGCACTCCGCAGCTCGCCCTTCCCAAGGGGCTGGAGCCCACGCTTCCTGAGCGCCACCCACGGGTCCCCGTGGGCACTGGGCTGTTCCAGCACAGAGAAACTACACCCCCCAACCCAACAGCATGGGTAAAGGGAATGGGGAACGATCTTCTCAGGCGTTCACAGGCGACCCCATTTGTGTGTGTGTGTGAGTGTGAGTGTGCGTGTGTGTGCAGTCCCGGGGCTTGCATTCAGGGCCTGGCGCTGTCTCTGAGTCTCTTGCTCAAGGCTGATTCCACCTGAGTCAGTTCCACCACGGCTCCACGAGTGGCTGTTTCTTCTTGGTGGTTAAGTGAAGAGTCTCACAGTCCCCCCCCAGCTCCCCCCCAGCTCCCCACCAGCTCCCCCCTGAGTGGCTGGGACTGAGGCTGACTGAGTCTCATCAGTCACCTTGGAGAAAGC